ATCATGCAGGCTATAATAAAAACAGGTCTGAAGCCTTCTGAAAATGGAGTGTGTCTCTTTGTATTGTCCCTGTCTCAACCACAACAGGAGATGAATGTTCCTTTGCTTTCTGGAGCCTGTTTGGAGAACCTTCTCCCTGGACTTTGTAGTGAGAGTGATTTCTGCAGGGTGTGTGGGGTACCTGCTCCCTGTGAGCCCTGGCAGAGGGGTTTGAGGCTGTTCCCTGCAATTCCTGGAAACTGCAATCGTTCCCAATCTCACACACGCAGTCTGTAAGTACAGGTAGGCTGCTCTGGGAAGTGTTTGTACCTTCCCTGATTCCCAGCTCTGCTTATCAGAGCCTGCAGGGAGCTGCCTGTGGATGGGCTCAGCAGCTGCTCTGCAGGCCAAAGGACTGAGTTAGCAGAGGAAGAAATTGATGAAATGTGAGTTTATCCATAGCAAGGAAGAAAGCAAGGCCATTAGCATGGAAACCACTAAAATAGACACAAAAGGGATATTTGCAGTGAGAGGATAGAAGCCTTAGTGAGCAGGTGCATGTGCCTTAATAATTTGTTATAAACTCTTGCCAGTTAATTATTGACATTAATTGCTTTGTACCAATAAAATACAATAAACTATTACTTGTCCAGCGAATATAATTGGCTGTTTTGATGTAACTAATGACTTCAATAACACTTTGTTAAGAGTATAAAACTTAGGAACAACTTTTAATAAAAAGAACCAAAACCATTGTTGTCACTGCACAAGAGTGGGTGTGTGTGTTTGTGTGTGTGTGTTGTGTGTCCATCTCAACAGAGACACTCCCCACCTCACAAACTTTCTGTAGTGCAGCTGGGATTTTTAGCAGGTGTTAACACCTCGCACGGGGCGCTGGTGTGGCCTGCTGGTCTTGGACTGACTTTTCCTGACGTTTTAGAGCCAGCAGCTCTTTCCCTGCCATTCCAGCGCCATTCCTGGGGCACCTGGCCTGGTGCAGCCCCAGCTGCCGTCCTGGCCCAGGTGTTCTCCTGGCTGGAAGTGCTGCTTTTAACAGAGGCCATGGAAAAGTGAGCGGGAGCGAGGCCAGGCTGTGTCCCAGGGCTGAATCTTTGGGAGTGAGGAGCTGCTGCCGTCCCCATCACTGCTGCCACTGCGGTGGCTTCACCTGGTGCCAGTCTCCTGCCACCCCTCGCTTTTTGGGGAGCTGCAGGTGCCACCTGCCCCCAGCCCTGGGGTGCAGCTCCTGCCTGTCCCGGGGTGCTGCCACTGCAAGCAGCGCTGGGGCTGTCACTGCTGGGGCTGCGTGCCGGTGCCTGGGGTTTACTGGGAGGCACTGGGATGCACTGGGGGCCTGCAGCGCCCACCACACCCCCCAGAGCGCTCCCATTGGGGCATCACCGCTGAGGAGCGATTTTTCTTGGCAATTTAAACTTTGAGGAGCCCCTGCCTGAACCCCGAGCTAGACCAAGGAGTTCTCCAAAGGCTTTCCGGCTTTGTGCGGGTATGGGGGGTGTTCCGGCCGTGGCAGCGGGGGTCTTTCCCCGCGCCCCCGGTGCTGTGCCGGTGTCGCTGCAGTGTCGCTTTCACCCGCCAGGTGTGCGCAGTTGAGCCGCGCTGGCGCCGCTCCCGGGATGAGCTCAGCGCGCCGCGATTGGGAGCCGGGATCAGCTGCTGCCCTGACGCGGCGCTGACGCGGCCCCGCATCATCCCCCCAATCCTCCCCCGAATCCCCCCCTGCGTGCGCATCCCGCCCCTCCATCCCCCCCTTCTTCTTCCCCTCCCTCCGGCCCCCGCTCTGAACCTGGAAAAAACAGCTCAGCTCCTATTTCAAGGAGCTTTTGTCCTCCCAAAGAGCTTTCTTGGGGACATTTGTCTTTCTTTCTTCTGCCTGTGACGGGAACATAATTGGGAGTGGGTCTCCATCTGCTCCGGGGGGAAAGGGGGGGTCCCGGGGAGAGATCACACTAGGGCAGCATCCCCAGTTTTAGGGCGCTTTGGATGGGGTGTTTTGGGAGCAGGAGCGGGGATTTGCAGGGTTTTGTGCCCTGAAATGGATCAGGAATCAGGGACTGTGCATTGCCTCTGTTGTGGGGCTCCCCCATCTCTGCAGTGCCCTCCACACCCGGGGCTCCGGGCCCAGCAGTGCCAAAATCCCAAATCCTACCCCAAATCCTGCCTTCCCACAGCCCTCCCAGTGTCCTGCCCAGCCTGGGGCCACCCTGATGTGTCACTTGTGCTTTCCCAGCCCTGCCAGCCTGAGTCACCGGGGTGTGCTGGGAATTCAGCCGGGTTGGGAGCCCCAGAGCCAGGTTTTGCAATTTTTTCAGTCTCCCATTGCTCATGGGATGAGCTGTCCTGGCACCCCCTTTCTTGGTGCCCCTTGTTATGCAGCAACACTGCAAAAACTCCCTCTCCTCAGGTGCCACTTCCCTGCCAAGCTCCTGCTGCCCCAGTGCCACCCTCAGTGTCCCCTGCCATGCAGGGGGACATGCCCTTATGCCCATATATTTATTATATAAAGTTTATATCATATATTATCTATTGTATCTATTAAATTGTATATTATATATATATATATTAATGACAGTGATAAAATCAGGGCTCCCTGGGTGTCCCATCCTGGGTGTCCTCCACCCCATTCACCCCCAGACATCCCCCAGAGCTCCAGCTCTGGGCCAGCTCGCCCTGATCCCACAAAAAGCTCTGCTCTCTCCCAGGAAGGGCCCTGGAGGAATTCTTGCAGTTATATAAATTGTAGAAGTTACATAAGGACCTTCCCTGTGCAGCTCTGAGAGCTGGTGCCCCACACCCAGCCCGTGCCAGGGGCTCAGACTGGTGCTGGGTATCCCATTCCTGCCTGGATTCCAGCCTTCAGTGCTGCCACTTTACCTCCCCTCATCTCCATCTGTCTCTTCAATTTTTAAAAACTCGCTTTTCTTCCTCATCCACTCAGTGTTTAAATTATTACCAGGGAAAAACAAGGGATCCTGGATTTTTGTGTGTGTGTGTGTTTTTTCACCTCCTTCCTGAGCAATGCCTTTTGGCCCTTTTTGAACTGATCTTGGGAAATTTTTTGGAAGTTTTCATTGGAAATTTCAGCCTCAGATCCAGCAGGATTTGGCCCTACCGTGGCACACTCCTGCCTTGAAACACTCAGGGAGCAGTTTGCAGGGTTTTCCATGGACCCTTTCATCCCCAAACCTTTCCTGGGCTTTTCCCTGGTCACCCCATATCAGATTTGGGCTGGTTCTCCCTTTATTTCCATCTTCAACCCTTTTTCCCATCCCACATGAGAAAATTTGGGAGCTCGTCCTAATGTGGAACTTCATACAAATGAAATTTAATGAAATTTCTCACACATGGAAAATGATATCACTGTGTAGGGCAGTGGCATTAATTTTTAAGAGTTGTGTGTGTGAAATAGGTTGGTTTTAATACAAATTGCTGTCTTTTTCCTGAAGATTTTATATGTTATGTATTAACATAGAAAGAAAATAGAAGTGCAAAAGGGGAGGGAGAGGCGACCAGGGGAACTCTGGGGGTGGCAAAGCTGCTGAAAGCTTTTAAGCAAAAAGAATTTTAGCCTCAGACCCAGCAGGATTTGGCCCTAAATGGGGTCACCCCATTTCTCTCCACAGCTAACTCCCCTCATATTCACCTTCAGCCCTTTCTCCCATCCCACAGGAAGAAACACCAAGTTTTGGGTGCTCATCCTAATGTGGAACTTAAATTAAATCTAAAGGTTTTTTCAATCCTGGAAAATTAAATAATTGTGTGGGACACGGGCAATAATTTTTAGGAGCTTTGTGTGTGAAATATATTGATTTTAATACAAAATACTCTCCTTTTCCTGGATATTTTGAATTTTACACAGCAAGGAAAATAGAAGTGTGAAAGAAGAGGGAGAGGCGACCAGGGGAGCTCAGGGGGTGACAAAGCTGCTGAAAACTTTTAAGCAAAAAGAATTTTAGCCTCTGGTCCATCAGGATTTGTCCCTAAATGGGGTCACCCCATTTCAGGGGGGGGGGGGGCTGGTCCTCTCCCTATATTCACCTTCAGCCTTTCTCCCATCCCACAAAAGAAAACACAAAGTTTTGGGCACTCATCCTAACATGGAACTTAAATGAAATTTAAAGGTTTTTTTCAAACGTGGAAAATTATATAATTGTGTGGGGCACTGGCAATAATTTTAAGGAGCTGTGGGTGTGACAAACGCTGGATTTAATACAAAATACTCTGCTTTTCCTGAGAATTTTGAATTTTACACAGCAAGGAAAATAGAAGTGTGAAAGGGGAGGGAGAGGCGACCAGGGGAGCTCAGGGGTGACAAAGCTGCTGAAAACTTTTAAGCAAAAAGAATTTTAGCCTCTGGTCCAGCAGGATTTGGCCCTACACTGACATAATCCTGGCTTAAGAGTTGGACATTCAGGGAGCAGCTTGCAGGGTTTTCCATGGACCTTTTCATCCCTAAACCCTTCCTGGGGACCACACCGGGTCACCCCATTTCAGGTGAGTGCTGGTCCTCCCCTCGTATCCATCTTTAACCCTTTTTGCCATCCCATGAGAGAAAATACCAAGTTTTGGGTGTTTGTCCTAATGTGGAATTTCAAATAAATTAAATTTAATGGCTTTTTTCTAACCTGGAAAATTCTATAATTTTGTGTGGCAGTGGCAATAATTTTTAGGACCAGTGTATGTGAAATATTTTTGTTTTAATACAAAATACTGGGTTTTTGGGGGGGATTTTTAATGTAACACAGCAATGAAAATATAAGTGTAAAATAGGCCGCAGGGAGAGACAACCAGGAGACCTCAGCGGGTCACAAGGATGCTGAAACTTTTTAATCAAATATTTTGACTATCACAAGAATTTTAATCACCCAGTTAAGAATTTTGGGGGTTTTTTTGCTGCCGGGAGCCTGTGGGGCTGGAGCAGGGCAGGCGAGCTCCTTTCCCCCGCCCGGCTCATCCAGCAGCAGAGGGTGCTCATGCACCGCTGTGCGAATCCTCCTCTCCCTCAGCCATCTTAGGGAAACGTTTCCCTTCCCCGCAGTCTCCATTTTATGTTCCTGACGCAGAAAATAAAAAGGTCAGCACGGGGGGGAGGGAGGCTGGGCTGGGGGGGATGCGGGAGGTGCTGAGGCAAAGCTTGGCTGCGGTTTTTGGGGTGCCAGGGCGGGATGTGGGGCTGCAGAGGGGGCACTGAGGGTCTGGTACCCAGGGGGGTGCAGGGAGAGGGGCTGCAGGGGAGGGAGGGCAGGATTGGCGAGGGGGGAGCTGGAATTCCAGCTGGAATGCTGCTTGGAGCCCCCCGGCAGCCCCCAGGGTGGGTGGTGCCCCCTCCCTCCCTCCCTGCCTGCATCCCTGCATCCCTGCATCCCGCCCTGCCCCAGGATGCTGCAGCTGGATGCTTTTATTAACCCCTGTCTCCACGGGAGGCTGAGCAGATCCCCCAGGCTGCCTGAAGCAGGATGGAGCTCAGGATGGAGCTCAGGATGGAGCTCAGGATGGAGCTCAGCTTTCAGCCCTTGCCAGGCTCCCCAGTCCAGAGGGACTTTCCTGTTTTCATTGTTCGGGACACCGAGATCTGTCCTTGTTCTTTCTTTCCTTCCTGCCCGCACACGTTCGGGAGGGGGAGGGGGTTGCCCCAGCTCCGTGACCAACAAAGGCTGGCAGCAGCACCTTTCCCAGCTGTGTGGAGAGTCCCAGGAGAGCTGCCAGCATTTATGGAGCAATTGTTGTCATCATCCCGATTTGTGGGAGCCTTTTTTTGTTACTCATCGCTGCCTGCTCCGTGCTGAGCAGCACTGAGGGTGAGCAGGCACCCCCCAGTCCGGGATATGAAACCTCCCAGGGGTGCCAAGTGCTCCAGTTTCACCCACCCAACCAGCCGGGGATGCTCAGGGATGGGCTCGGGGCTGTGGTCCCCCCTGGCCCCTGCCTCTCTGTGCCCTGTGATGAGCACAGCACATCTCCCCCTTCCATGAGGGCTCTGGGAGCTTCCAGAGGCCTGCTGGGATTTCTGAGTGGTTTCCAGGCTAAGGAGTGCAGTTTAGGGGTTGGGGAGGGGTTTTTGTGGCACCTCATAGCTGAGAAGCAAAGCGCTGTGCCCTCACCTTCACAGGAATGTGCACACAGACAATCGCTGGTGTCGCTGCATCCAACAAACTTCCAACAGCCGGAGCTGCCAGCTCCAAAACCTGCCCGAGGTGGGGATTAAACACTTCAAATTTGGGCCAAGTCCATCAGCAAACTTGAACAAAAAGCCCTGTGAGAGCTGACTTGTCTCCAGTGTTTTCAGCTGAGTCTGCTCGGGCAGCTCATCCCTCAGAGCCAGGGACGGGGAGGAATTCCATTCCCACAAATCTGCTCCTTCCACATCCCGCCTGCCCTTATGCCTATCCTACACCCAGTTTATTCCAAACTCCTTTATTCCTTTCCTAAAAACCTGATTTTGTAGTTCAGTTGAGCCTGTTTTTGTCAGGTTTTTGTCAGGTTTTGGTCAGTTTTGGTCAGTTTTGGTCAGTTTTCCCCCAGCTGCTCCATCCCCTTCCCGCAGCCACGCACGAGGATGCTCTGGTCAAGAAAACACCGCAAGAGCCCCTGTGCTTTCTGGGGACACTCAGATCGCTCAGAGCGACTTTTCCTTTAAATACCCCGAGCTAAAGCTCCCTTTGTCTGTCATCTTGCGCCTGCCTGGACGAAAATAGGTCAGTGATTCCGTGCCGGGCTGGCGGAGCGAGCGCTGCCGCGGGCGCCGGGCGGGCTCGGGACAGGGATGCTCGCCCTCTGAAGAATCGTGTTTCCTGGGCTGTTGGGGTCCACTCCGGCTGGCTATAGACCCTTGCCACACGATACTTCATAGACGAAGGTAAAAAATTGGGAAGCGCTCTCCTCCACGTGGGAAACGTTGTCCTTTATTCCAAGACACACATCAAGTGGACAAACCATGGGAGAAAAGAGGACGTTCCCTGGCGGCAGGGAGCTTTTATACCCCCCGGATGGGGACAGAGGGAGAGTCCACAGCCAGTGGGACACCAGTGAGGAGTGGCTGGGGCAGGGGTAACCCAGGGGAGAGACCACCAGGTGGTACCAGGACAGGTCGGGGACAGACCATGTGATGGGGAAAAAGGGGTAACGAACCACATGATGTAACATAAGCTATACAGTGCAATACAAAGCTATTCTGTGCAAATTCCCAATCACCCAGTGCAAGAGAACAACTAAACTGGTGCACCACAACAGCCCTCCCTGCGCCGTGAGCGGGCAGGAGCCGCTCCGGGGCTGCCAGGGGGAGCAGCACCCCCGTGCCCACCTCTCGCCCGGCACAGCTGGGTTCTCGGGATGCTTTTCCGCCTTTTCGTGATGTCATTTTGGGGCTACCGAAAAATAGAGGGCAGGTGAAATTAAGGGAATAAAAGCAGTTTATTTATGGAAGGGCTTTCAGGTACATTTAGGGCCATCGAGGGGTGTGGGAACCCTGGATGCTGAGAATTTTAAACTTTCTGTGCAGAAAGGCACAGACCCGCAAGAGAACACTGCATTTGACCTGAGGCCGTGTCAAAAATGGTTGATAGCACAGATTATGAGACAGGGGCTTCCAAAAATGGCTTTCAAAATTGATTGATAGCAGATTATGAGACAGGGGCTACACCCAAAAATGGTCACGGGTTTTCACACTTCTATAAGTTTGGTTTATTTGCATATTGGGCGTTAATCTTCCAATTACAGCTTCAGGTAATGAAGTCATTTACCCCCAGTCTGCTCCCCCCAACTCACTTTTGTTTCCATCTCCTGGGCCTGAGGCAGTGAGGTGTCCTCGATTCCCGGGCCTGGAGAGGAATTGTTGTGTCTGCTCTAAACGGGAAAGCAGCAGCTCACATGTACATGGAGTTTGGAGTTCTACACTAAGAACTGCAGGGTTACAAACAGATGGAAAATATAAAAGCTGAAATCCTAAGGCATATCCATGCTCAGGGTGCAGGTTTTGGCGTTTGTGGGCACCCCAGGACTGGCACAGCCCCCGTTCCTGTTTGCTCCAGCCCAGGGTGAGCGTTCAGGCACCGAGCTGAACTTACCTTTACTGGGGAACACAGCAAAGGTAAGAAGACTTTGGGGAAGCAGTGAAAGAAGGCCTCAGAAACAGAAAGAAAATAAATCAAAAACCAGAAAACTTTGAGCTAGCTGCAGCTGCAATTGTGAAAGCAGAAAAGTTACAATAGTGCAGCAAGCAAGGACATGAAACAATGGCTTGAGTTTTGGGCTTGGCTAAGATAGGCCTTAAGAGTGCAGAAAAATGTGCTTAGCAAGGTAGCAGAAGGTTTTAAGCTTAATAATGGAGTATTGTGTATTATTAATAGAAAGAAGACAAGCAGGCTTTGTGTGAAGCAGGTGTACGTGTGCTCTTAGTGGTTGGCTAGGTCTTTATTATTTATTTCTTTATTTTTTAATTATTAGCTGTAGCAATGTGCTCTTGGCTGGAAAGTTTTTTAAATGCTCTGCAACAAAGCAATCTTTGGCCGCTGCTGGCTGCAGGGGAGCTTTGCCACCCTCCCGCTGTCTCAGCCGAGCAGTGAGGCCGATGCCACGGTGGAGCTCCAGGAAGGATCGCAGCAGCCCCTCCCGTCTGTGCGACCCCCGGCACCACGGCCCAATCCCCTCCTGCGCTGAGGAGCGAGGGAGCCGCCGGAAAGGTGGGAATCCTGGGGGGGACACGATGCCCGACAGGCAGGAGGAATGATGTGTGGAACTCTATGACATTACAAGGCTAATTAATTCCTTCATTATACTATAACTATATTATAGAACATTCCATTAACAAGAACTATTACTAACCAGAAAACTCGTGACTGGCTGTAGACCGCCAGTCCACACAGCTCGCACTTGATGGCTAATTAACATAAACAACTATCACACAGTCCAATTAAGGACTCGCTTTAGGTAAACGATTTTATCAACACATTCTACGTGTGCAAAACACCAGGAGCAGCAAGTAGAGATAAGAATTGTTTTCTCTGCTTCTCTCACAGCTTCCCTCCATTCAGAGGGAATGTGAATACCACAGGAATCGTTCCCATGGGATGCTGCTGCTCCCAGGGCAGGGTCTGTGCCAGCCGGAGCTCTGCCACACACAGAGGGGCATTACCCGGCCTGGGAGGTTTAGGGGCTGGGCTGGGGTTGGGCATCTCTGGGTCGCTCTTCCAGCACCAAACCTGCAAACGCTTTCCTGAAAGGGAGAAACACGGCTCGCTATTTTAATAAAATTTTATAAATTATTATTAATTATAGATATAATTATATATATATACTATATATTATATAGTACGTATTATAGATTATATATTGTATATTAAAAATTATATATAATGTATAATAATACACACTATGTCTATTATCTATTATCTAATAGATTTTATATAATTTGTGTATTATTATATGTTATAAATTATTACATTATTATAAGTTATTAAATTATTATATATCATTTTAATAAACGTTTATTAAGGGATAAAAGGGATAAAATCCAGCGACAGGGTTAACTTAAACCATGTTCTCTACATACTGTAACATTACAGGGGGGTACATGAATATTCATGAGTTTATGAATATTCAAACATTCTTTTGCTTGGTTTTAACCTTTGACTTGTCTTCATGCTATCTTGTAGATTAAACCAATATATTTTATTTCTTCTTGTGGCTCCATCCTGTTGTATTTTCACTCTCTGGTAACAGGGGTTAATAAATTTTTTTTTTTTCGATGCTCTGGTTTCTATTTCAGTTACCTTATCTTTCAGATAAGACAGTCCCCGAATGTGGGAAATCACTTAATTATTTTACACCATTTTCTGAGTTAGTTATAGGAAAAACAATTTCAACATTTCACAGTTTATTATGCTATGGTCTAAAACAGTATATACTGCACTATATTTACACTATATAATAGTATTACACTATATAATAGTATATATTACACTACACTACACTACTATTTATGAAAGCTACAGGGTGCATACCTAAACTGACAGATTATACTACATCTAAAGCAGGAATTACAAACTGTATTGCATCGGGATTTTTGTGTTCAATAATAACTTGCAAAACAAAAGCTAATACATAACTATAACTACAAATATAATAAATAACTGTGTTTGCTGTTTATAACACTGAAGCATTCCTCCCGTGCCATTCCATAAATCCCCGGGTGTGCAGCGTCTCCCGCTGAGCCGGGATGTGCAGGTGGATGTTGTGGATGTGTCAGGGTGGGCGTGGGGGGTATCACCTGTGCATTGATTTAAGGAGATCCCTTTTCCCAAACCTGGAAAACTCTATATTGTGTGTGGCACTGGCAATAATTTTTAGGAGCCGTGTGAGTGAAATATTTTTGTTTTAATATAAAATATTCTTGTTTTGGGATTTTGACTGTAACAGCAAGGAAAATATAAGTGTAAAATAGGTGGCAGGGGGAGGCAACCAGGAGAACTCAGGGGATCACAAGGCTGCTGGAGCTTTTCAATCAAATAATTTGGCTATCACGAGAATTTTAATCACTCAGGGAAATTTGGGGGTTTTACTCTCTTTAACAAGGTTATCTCACTGAAGACATCCATGGATGGAGCACGTCTCCTATGAGGGAAGGCTGAGACAACTGGGGCTGCTCATCCTGGGGCAGAGAAGGGTTTGGGGACACCTCAGAGCCCTGCCAGGGCCTGAAGGGGCTCCAGGAGAGCAGGAGAGGGGTGGGGACAAGGCATGGAGGGACAGGACAAGGGCTCGTGATTTTAACTGAAACTGGGGCATGCAGACTGGATACAGGGAAGAAATCCTTTCTGTGAGGGTGGGCAGGCCCTGGCACAGGGTGCCCAGAGCAGCTGGGCTGCCCCTGGATCCCTGGCAGTGCCCAGGGCCAGGCTGGACATTGGGGCATCCTGGGACAGAGGGATGTGTCCCTGCCATGGCCGGGGTGCAGTGGGATGGTCCTTAAGGCCCCTCCCAGCCCAAACTATTCTGTGACTTTTCGTACAAGCAGAGATCCTCTCAGCACCTTCTCCTAAGAGAAAAATTGCATTTATTCCGTCTTTTTTCCCCACTCCACCTCCCCCTCTGTGCTCGTTGCAGCATCTCCGCGTTTCCCCGGTGCTAAAGTTGCCCAGCCAGCCTCACATGCACAAATCCATCCTCAGCGTCTGCTGCTTGTGCTGAACACCAACTAGAGCAGGAAAATCCCTTTTTCAGGCGTGGGGAGGAGGAATGAATAGGGGAAAGGAGGAAAAAGGAGAAGGGAAAACTCCCCAGGAATGAGAAGCAGCAGGGGTCCCTCACCAATCCCTTTCTCCAGAGCCCCCCCGCTGCTTCTCCCACTCTTTGAACCTCCCCGCTGTCACTCCGCGGCTGGAAGTGCTGATTGGAGCAGGCTTTGATTAGCAGCAGCTGCTAATTACCCGCTAAGCCCAGCCTGCAGAGCCGCGGGCGGTGATTAGCGCGGGTTTAATGACCTTTGTCCCTCTTGTTGTCGTCTGAGGGTCCTGAGGTGGGGTCAGAGCGCCAAGAAAGGGCAGGAAAAGGGAGAGCAGATTCCCAGACCTTGTAATTGACTCTTCTAATCGCTTCCCGCCGCCACACACAGCACGGGGCTGGGCTGATTCTGAGATAAGGGTTAGAGATCTGCAGCTCAGGGCTCTGTGTGGCCTCAGGGCTCGTCTTAGCCTTGGATTTGGCAGCTTTCTCAAGGAAAAAGATGCTGGAAAATCTCTTCTGCCTGCCCCACACCCTGTCTGGCAGCAGGGCCTTTATTTCCATAGTCTATTTTTCTTCCTCATCCTGCTTCCTGGGAATGGTTTTTAGTTATGACCAGCCAGAGATGAATTTAAATCCTGGGAAGGGGGAAAGAAAAGAAAAAAGAAAAAAAAAAAAAAAAGGGGGCCACCCCCTGTCACCTCAAGGCTGCCAGCCACTGTCACCTCCTTGGACATCAATTATTCGCCTTGGACTGATGAATTCCAGCTTTGTTCCCTAGATTTGCAGATAAACTGACCCTATCCCTGCAGGGAAGGCAGCTTTAACATCATATTTCAATGTGGGGAGCATCAAGATGAGGGAATTTTGGACTTGAAGGATTTTAAAGATCCAAGCAATATTTTTCTTTATATATATATATGTTCTAGAAAATCTATTTTCCCTGCCCTTGTTCCCATTCAGAAATGTGTGGTTGCTTGGCTTCACACCCCCATCCTGCTTTTTTTAAAGGCAGGAAAAAAGGAGAGTTAAGAGCTCCCTATTTATCTTCCTAAAATATCCTGAGAGGGTCTCAATTGTCCTGGATTTTTCACAGAAATTCTGGGTTGTCCACATTGGAGAAATCTGGTCTTTGAAATAGGAAAACTTCAGTGGAAAAAGTCGTTTTCTCTGGACACATTTAATTCCAAACAGAAATAAAACATTTTGGCTGTGCAATGTCAGTGGGAAAATCTCATTGTGATTTTTTTCCCCCCTTTCTGCAGTGCAAGAAGTCAAATCTAAGTTGTCAGAACTAAAAAAGTGTCCTGCAGAATAATTTAAGTTTTCCCAGTGCTGTTTAGCCCTGCTGGGGATAATGGGGAGAAGGGAGTGGGGTGGGAATGGGGGGAGCAGAGTCCTGACCCGGGGATGGGGCACCTCAAGGAGAAACAGGACAGTGGAAAATGAACCCAGGGCTCTCCCCAAAACAAGGTTTGAGAAGCACAGGGAGCGTGGAACACCTTGGAAATGGCTTTTCCTGTGATTTTTTTCCTTTAATTGATCAGAGCACTATTTTTACCCAGTTCAGATGCACTCAGGGCTGCTCTCTGGGGAGGATGAGGATTCTGTCCTTGCTGATTCATTCAGCCCTGGCTCAGGATCTTTCTGGAAGCATCTCCTGTGCCCAGTGTCGGAGTTGAGACGGAGACAATGCAAAGCAACAAACTTAATTTTCAGAAGGCTTCAGATCTGTTTTTATTATAGCATGCATGATTTTTATACATTCTTCAAACCTCCTAAGTTTACACTTTGGTCAGGAGACAAACAAAGTGCTCATTGGAACAGGCAGTTGCAGGTTTCTCTTATTTCTCCTTTTTTCTTCCTTGGTTTCTGTGTCAATGACCTTGGTAGGGAATTCTCTCAGGGGTGAACATGGATCCTTTTATCAAACTTCTCTCTGGCCCACAGAAGTTGATGTAAAACCTCTTGCACACCCAGGTGTGTGTGACCTGTCTGGAGCTGGCACCCTGAGATTCTCCTTCCTCCTCCTCAGCTCCCAGATATCTCTATAAATCCATTTCTGGCCCTGATCATGGACACTCAGGCTGAGATCTTGTAAAGAGGGCAGGGTTAGATTCGATTTTAGAAAGGCTAGGTTAGACTTTAGGAAGCTTATATTAGATTTTAGGAAGAAATTCCTCCCTGGGAGAGGGGCCCTGTGGCTGCCCCTGGATCCCTGGCAGTGCCCAAGGCCAGGTTGGACAATCTTGGAGCAGCCTGGGATGTGGAAGGTGTCCCTGCCATGGCAGAGGTGGGATGGGATGAGCTTTAAGGTCCTTCCAACCCAAAAGCTGGCCCAAAGATGGAGTCTGAGTGCAGAACTGCTCTGAAGACAGACCCTGCCCGGTCAGAAAATGCTCCTGCTGCTGTCACAGGTTGGGAAGCAGCACGAGAGCAGCTGTTTCTCATTAGGTGCCTGTTTGCAGTGCTGTGGGGCTCCAAAAGCAGCAGGTCTCTCTGTGAGCTGCTGCAGGACCCGGGGCACAGCCGGGCTCGCCGAGGCTCAGCTCGGGAAGCATCTCTTGATCTCTGCTGAAACACGTCCTTGCCTCGTGCTCCTGCTGCTTTCTGGGCTTGTCCCTGTGCTGGGCTCTGCCTCAGGCCAGCAGGACACAAGTGTCTGATTGGGCTGAGCCCTGTGGGGCTGCAGGAGTCCTTTAATGCTCTCTGCATCTGGTCCTGCAGGCAGGAGCTGGGGATGGCAAGGGAAAGCTCCATCCCTGCCAGGGACACAGAAGGGTTCAGGAGGGGGGACCTTTAAAGGCCTCTGGTCCACCCCTGCCATGGCAGGGACACCTTCCTCTGTCCCAGGCTGCTCCAAGATTGTCCAACCTGGCCTTGGGCACGGCCAGGGATCCAGGGACAGCCACAGGGCCCCTCTCCCAGTGAGGAGTTTCTTCCTAAAATCTAATATAAGCTTCCTAAAGTCTAACCTAACCTTCCTAAAATCGAATCTAACCCTGCCCTCTTTACAAGATCTCAGCCTGA